CCCCTCAGAACCCTGTCACTTCTCCCTTGCTCTGTGCCTCAGTTGTTTCATTCATGAAATGGGGATTATAACCAAACCGGCCACAAGGTTGGTGTGGAGATTCAGGGAGACTTGGCCCAGTGCCTGGCAAGAGAAAGAGCTTCACAAAAAGCCAAGCCACTGTCAGTCTTTCTCATTACACTGAAGGTCCTTGAAGGCGGGGGCTGCAATGGCTCTCTGGGCACTGTTGCTCAGGACCACACTGGGAAAACATAGACGTTAGTAGGTCATTAACATCACCTGGACCAGTGACAAGCTGAGAGGCCTGCAGAGTAGGGGAAGCTGTCCGCCTTTGGGACCCTGTCTCCAGGCCCAATGCTACAGAGTGGCCCTCATGGTTGCAGCAAACAGCTCCTGCCTCAGAGTGACCCCTGTGGCCAGCCACACACAGCCACCTTCCCTGCCAGCTGCCCAAAGTCCTGGGACTCTGTACCACCCCCACCCCTTCCCCCAGTCACGGAGATAGCCCTGGGGCAGTTTGGGCTGCACAGAGAGTGGGTTGCCTGGGCTCCAGTCTAGCTCTGAGCACATTGACCCTGCTCTCTGGACCACAGTTTACCCATCTAGAAGTTGGGGTGGGTATAGCCTTGTCCCCAGAGCCATTTCAACTCTAAAAATGTCTTCTGCTTACTTACGTGCATTGTTCCATTTATTCCACAAGTATTTCTTTATTGAGTGCCTACTATATACGTGTACCAAGCCTTTTGCCAGGCCCTCTGCTGCTCTTGCTTCTTAGCCCCTCCCCCTTCTTGGTCTCCAGGCCTTAGCTTCCTATAGGAAGCCCTGGGAGCAGTTTTGGGATCCTTCTTCCCTCACCACCCTCTTACCCCCAGCCCTGTCCTCCTAATTACAGACTTACCACTCTGCATTTTCTCATCTATTTATCCTGTCTGCTTCCCTCGGCATCGTGGCCTTCTGAAGGCAGAATCCTGTCTTATTCCCTGACACATTCCCAGGAATTCCAAAGAAGAGTTCTGGAAATATCTCTCAGACAAATGAACAAGTGAATGAATGCATGAATCCCAAATCTCCCTCCTGCTCCCTGCAGCACAACATCCCAATTCAGGTTTTTGCCTTTGCACCCTCTCCCCAAGGAACCCTCAGGAGCCAAAGGGGCCAATCCCACCACCCGGCAGGAAGCCCCCTAACCTTGCCATCTACCCCCAAGCCTGGCTGACCAGAAGGTGTCCACAGGCATATATGCACTTGTGAGGTGTTAGCTGCTCTGATGTGGGGCTGACACCACCTGGGGTTTGATGAGAGCCAAGGTCCCCAGTGGTTCCAGATCCCTCTTCTTGTGCTGTCCCAGTAGACACTCAGTAAATATTGAGGCATTAATTAACTCCCTCCAGGGAACAGTGACTCAGAGCCAGATGTAATCTCCTCAGCCCCAGGGGGAAAGGTGAGGGCTCCAACCTCTCTCAGGTACCCAAATAAAGCCAGCCCTTCATCCAATAAGCCTTGTCTCATTTGAACCTACCCCCTTTCATGGGGCACAGAGCCAAGGACCCCCACACACGTGTGTACACAGATACTCATATACACATGCACACACACTCACTGCCCTGAACAGTCTATGATACCCTGCCCAGAACCATCCGGCATCCCAACAGAAGCCTTGGGTGCAATTCATCCATTCTACAAACATCCGTGAATTCCTACCATGTCCCCAAAGACCCACTGGTTCTGAGGGGTGCCAAACAATTCAGTTGTTCCTCTGCCTCCTTCAGCAAGGGTTTTCTTACAACAGCTGTGCAACTCCCTCTCCCATGTCACCCAAAAAAAGATCAAGGGTTTCTATCAATCTAGACAACTGCTTAGCCCTCCCCACCAGCCCACCTCTGGATTCTTAAGAAGGCAAGACCAAGTGTGGACCCCCAACAAGAAGGCCCAGAGAAGGGGCTGGATGAGGTAGAACCAATTCTTGCTGGCCCCAGGAAGTGGAAAAGCCTTAGTAGAGCTCAAAACTCGACTCCTGGCAGAGTCCAGGTAGGGGACTGGAGGGGTCTGGCTCCCTGCCCCCGAGCCTGTAGCTGGGATCCACTTCCATCCCCACTCAGACCCCCCATCTGGGCCCCCAGTGTTGTTTTCTGGGGCACAGCTCCAAGGAAGGCTATGAATGACAAACTGCATGGGGACCAATATTTGCTTCTTTGTGGGCTCCTGCAGGCCGTGATCCCAGAGCAGCTGGCAGAAAAGAGCTGGGGCCAGTCAAAACAAGGTCACATTTACCATGAGCTGGTCTCTAAGAACCAGATTCTGCTTCACTGACAACAGAAGCTGATTCCGAGGGCCCTACAACAAGCTCTGGTCCTGGAAACTGGCAAGCTAGGTTCAAGTCCTGATTATCCCTTCCTGGTGTGTTATCTCAAGAAAAGCATGTAAACTCCTAGTGTCTCCAGTAAATGCTGGGCAAGGACAGAATGAAGGCCCAAAATCAGCATTAATAATACATTTATAATACAATGTGCCAGACAATGCTCCAATAAGAGCATTCCCTGTACACGCCAGTGGTGGCTCAAAGGTGAATGAACCTCAAACATAAATTAACAAAGCCTTTGTGTGCCTTTAAGACAAGCACCAGGGAAGTGAGGGGCAATGTATTTTTATTCTTATAGGCATTGTCACATTGTATGAGCAAGTTCCACAGACCTGGAGGTCCTGCTATCAGATCACCAATAGAATGTAGGTAACATGGACTCAGCACCCATACATAGCACAGTGGTTACAGCACCAGCCACATACACCGAGGGTGGCGGGTTCAAACCCGGCCTGGGCGAACTAAACAACAATGACAACTGCAACAGAAAAATAGCTGGGCATTGTGACGGGCGCCTATTATCCCAGCTACTCGGTAGGCTGAGACAAGAGAATCGCATAAGCCCAGGAGTTTGAGGTTGCTGTGAGCTGTGACGCCATTGCACTCTACTGAGGACAATGTAGTGAGACTGTCTCAAAAATAAATAAATAAATAAAAAGAATGTAAGCAATGTGTCCTTTCTCTGAAGTCCCCCTAAAATTTCAATCCTGGCATCTCTGGGAGAAGCTGAGGAAAGTGCTACTGGTCACAGGGGCCCAAATCAGTCTGACATTGTTCGAAGATGACATGGAAAGGACACGGCACTAGATCTTGAGAAATTCTTTTACATTATCAGTCCCCAAATGTCCTGATATGAAAAATGAGATAAATACCCCTCAAACTTTCTTTCCCCGCTTGATGACTGGCACTAAGTAGATGCTACAAAATTATTTAAGGAAACAAATTTTAGGAAATCTGAAGACTAAAGGCAGACCCCAAGACCACAGGATGGGCCAGTGGGTCTCACTCCCACCAAGGGATGAAGACTCAAAGACACCCCTCCCAGGAGGAGGTGAAACAACAGGAAGCCTACTGGTGGGCCCCCCATCCCAACCCCCAGGTCCTGCATAGCTCTCAGAGTTTCTGTAGACCCTTTAAGGTCCCACTCATGGGCCCGTCCTCAGGCAAACCTCCTGACAGCTTCGAGAAGCTGTCTATGCAGGTGCCTAGACTCCCTGGAAGCAGCAGTCAGCCCCCTTCAGGACTCTAGTCCAGATGGAGAGCCCCAGGAATGAGAATCCTGTCCCTCCGTTCTCCCTTTGTCTCAGTGCCCAGCTGGGAGAAGGTAGCCCCTGAATGGTTCAGGATAAGAAGGAAAACTGTGTCAACTAAAGTTAAGTTGGGGCTCCGCGCCTGTGGCTCAAGTGGCTAAGGCGCCAGCCACATACACCTAAGGTGGCGTTTGAATTCAGCCCAGCCCGCCAAAACAACGATGGCTGCAACCAAAGAATAGCCGGGCGCTGTGGTGGGTGCCTGTGGTCCCAGCTACTTGGGAAGTTGAGGCAGGAGACTCGCTTGAGCCCAGGAGCTGGAGAGCTGGAGTTGCTGTGAGCTGTGATGCTACAGTGCTCTACCCAGGGGGATAGCTTGAGGCTCTCTCTCAAAAAAAAAGTTAAGTTGGCAAGTTCCTTGGCCCTTGGAATTCACATTCTGTTTGAAACTCACTGTCCCTGGCCCAAATCTGAGCTGTGTGATCTCCAAGTCACTCTATTCCTCTGAGCCGCAGGTCCCCTGCTTTGCTAAAGTTAGAGAGAGGCTTTCCGGGCGTTTCTATTGTCATTATCATTAGTTAGGCACGAAAGGAAAGGTTACGGAACTGGTGATTAGAAAACTCAGAGTACTGCTTTAGGCCTTTGGCCTCAGCTGGTTGCAGGTCCATACTTTTCTGAGGCATGCCTTGAACTTTCTCCATCAGAGATCAAAAATCACAATGTTTTGATTTTTTTCGTCAAGCAAATGGGGAGAGTAGTCCTTCCGTGCTCATTCCCAGAGACCCCTCGCCCAAACGTCAGGGAGTCAGGCCCAACCTCTTTGCAGTGGAGCATACCTCCAACAGCTCTCCCTTGAAGTCTCTCAGTGTCAAGCCGGCGGCCCCACTAGCAGAGACTTTGGCTCCCCCAGGTCACTTGGGGGTCGACAGGGGAGAAAGAGGAGCCGCTGCGTGGCCCGAAGTGGAGACACGCGAGCACCTGCTGCAGGTGAGGCCCAGCGGTCCGGAAGGGGGAGGAGCCGTCGCCGCAGCATTCAGGTGAGCAGACCCCCGGCTCCCAGGAGCTAAGCCGAGGGCAGCGGAGGTACTTTAACGTGCCTGCTACGAGGGAACCCGTGCTGCAGACCGCGGCCCTAGCGGCTCCGAGTCCCGAGCGGTGCGGCGGCCCCAGGAGAACATTCGAGGCAGCAGCGGCGTTGGAGGCCCGGGGTCCGTTCGGTATTTGAATAGCACAAAGGAACCGCCTTGGTCTGATTGGCCAGCCTAGTGGCCCTGGGGCGGGCAGCGCCCGTCACTCGGGAGACTCTGGGCACTTCTATTGGCTTACCAGGTATGAGGCGGGGCCTAGGCACCAAGCTAAATAGCTGGGGCCGGGGCCGGCCGAGGCTCATTGCTTTGGCGCCGTCTGGGGAGCGCGAGCCCGCGGGTGGCGCGCAGCGCATGGTGGCAGCGCCTCTCGGAGCGCAGCCGACCCGCTGACCCGGGCTCGGTTCCCCCTGCCTGGCGCGCCCAGGCGCCCGGCTGGAGGAAGAAACAGCAGCAGCACTAATAGCAGCAGCGGCGGCAGCTGCTTTGCCGCCGCGGTCTCCGCGGGAGCATGGAGTGCGCCCTGGACGCCCAGAGCCTGATCAGCATCTCCCTGCGCAAGATCCACAGCTCCCGGACCCAGCGCGGCGGCATCAAGCTGCACAAGAACCTCCTGGTGTCCTACGTGCTCCGCAACGCTCGCCAGCTCTACCTGAGCGAGCGCTACGCCGAGCTCTACCGGCGCCAGCAGCAGCAGCAGCAACAGCAGCAGCCTCCCCACCACCAACACCAGCACCTAGGGTACGCGGCTCCGGGCATGCCGGCCAGCGCTGCTGACTTCGGCCCGCTCCAACTTGGCGGCGGCGGGGACGCGGAGGCGCGCGAACCGGCCGCCCGGCACCAGCTGCACCAGCTCCACCAGCTCCACCAGCTGCACCTCCAGCAGCAGCTGCACCAGCACCAGCACCCAGCGCCCAGGGGC